TTGCCTAGCAGAGGAAAAGCCCATGGATTTATCCCCTACACTACAAAAGAAAAGACAGGAGAGCCGGGGGTCGTGGCACACACCTATAATCCCAGCACTTGGGAAGCTGAGGCAGGAGAATCACCATGAGTTCCAGGCCAGCCTGGGCTACATAGTGAGTTCAAGGCCAGCCTGAACTACATAGTGAGATTTTGTCTCAAAAAAACAACAAAAACCCACAACCAAACACACACAAACCCCAACAACAACAACAAAAAAGAAAAGACAAGAAAAGACACCTCATCTTAAAAATATGTTTAGAACAAAAAGGTATGCTTAGATTTTTAACATCCCCCAATTCGACCCCTCCGTACTGGGGACTGAAACTAGGAATCACTGAGCTATACCTCCAACACTATATATTATTTTGAGACTGGGTCTTGCTAAATTTCCTTGAAAGTTTAAGCTTGCTTGCTTTCTTTCTATTTCTTCCTTTCTTTCTTTCTTTTCATTTTTTGGTGTTTTGAGACAGGGTCTCATTGTGTAGTCCAGTTGGCCTTGAACTCGGGGCAATCCTCCAGCCTCAGCCTCCCCAGTGCTGGGAGTGGTGTGCACCACCACGCCCAGCTCAGCTTTGCATTAATAGTACATTTTGACTTCTGAAAAAGGTGATTTAATTTATCACCTAAAAACAAATATTTCCTTTACAAACATGTTCAAGAACCTTTTAATTTTTTTTTTCCAGTACCAACCAGAGATCGAACTCAGGACCTTGCGCTTCCTAGGCAGGTGCATTGGCACTGAACTACATCTCTGGGCCTAAGAATCATTCATTCATTCATCCATTCATTCATTTCTTTCTTTTTTTTTTTTCGTACCGGGGATCGAACTTGGGTCCTTGTGCTTGCACAGGAGGCAGCGAAACCACTGAGCTAAATCCCCAGCTCTTATTTCATTTTTTGAAGCAGGGTCTCCCTTTGTAGTTCAGGCTGGTCCTGAACTCACTATGTAGCTCAGGCTGCCCTGGAACTCACAGCAATCCTCCTGTCTCAGCCTTAAGAGTGCTGGGATTACAGGCATGCACCACCATACCCGGCTCCCTAAGAACCTTTTAAAAAGAGAACTCTAACGTTTTAATATTCTTTACAGTACTTTTTTCCCTTTTTTTTTCTTTTTTTTGAGACAGGGTCTTGCTGTGTAGTTCAGGCTGGACTTGCACTCACTATGTAGGCCAGGCTGGCCTCAAACTCATGGCTATCCCCCTGCCTCAGCCTCCAGAGTGTTGGGATTCCAGGTGTGTGTCACCACAACGGGCACTTTTTCTTACTTTTAATAGGGATCTAATTTTAATTTTTTTGTTTTTAAAGAAAAACTTGTTTTGAGGACTGAATACTTATCATTAAAACAGAATAAAGGAGTTCTATTTACTCTTAACAGTAAGGCTGGTACTGTGACTTTAAAAAAACAACAACACATGACTTTAAAGCACTGATTGGAATCACATGCTTTCTTTCAGTAGGTTTGGTAGACTTTCTTGGTGGGAGTGTAAATGGGGAGTGCAGTAGCACTGGCATCACATTTGGACAGTGGCTGGATGTAGGAAAATTTACTGGGGAATAGGAATAGCTCCTGAGACAGGAGGGGTCCTGAGTGGGTTGTCCTGGATGCTCCCTTCTTCCGCGCAGCGTGTGCTCACCGGCGCGTGTATATCGGCGCGAGTATATCGGTGTGCAAGTGAGTTGGAAAGACGAAGTTGGATGCTGAAACTCTGCCCCCTTCCCTGCCCTCGCCAACGTGTTTTTGGGAGGGAGAAGAAAGGCAAGGCCGAGTAGGGGATGTAGGTATCTTGCGAAGGGGTGAAGGATCAAGGCAGCGGTCGCTGTCCCCGGCTCCCGCGAGGAAAGTCGCTCGCTGGCTGCTCCAGTCGGGCAGTGGCTTCTCTGCCCAAAACCCCAACGCCCTAGGCATCCTTCACAAAGCCAGAGCTGAAAAAGGGAGATGCCTCCGGAAATACGCCCGGGCCTCCTCGTCGATCGCGGTTTCGGGATCATAGTAAAACAGCGAATCACGGGCAAATCTTTTCTGTAAAGATGGAACGGTCTGGCCCAGGAAGCGTTTGCGTTTTCATCGAGAATAGGTAGGACGACTCTCTCTTAACCTTTTATTAGACATCGTCCTATCTCTACTTTAAGGAAAAAAGATACAGCTTCATAGTCCCACATTTTTCGATCACGTCTGCCTGCTCCACAGCGTAGTTTCCGCTTCTGGTCACATGGCTCGGGTAACGGGCCACACCTTCCCACGGAGGCCCGTTCCCAGTCCGTGGACCGACACGTCACTCCTCGGCCCTCAACCAAACTTCCCCGAGCATGTTCTTTCCGAGCGCTTCACTTTCACGCGCCGGCCTATGACAGCTAGGTGGGATCTTATAGTTCCGCCCCTAGAGTGCTAAATGATAGCTCTACAGACCAGTTAAGAAGGGAAAACGAGGCTTAGTCCCGGCCTCCGGACCTGACTGACAGTACCTAGTCCTATCGCTTTCCCGAAGAATCATATTGGCCGGAAGCCAGCCAATGGGGAGCGGTCCTGGGGCGGAGCTGGCCTTTGTCAGGGTTGGGTGCGCCACTGAGCGGATGGCAGTGGGAGCGGAGCGGATTCCTGAGGAACGCTGCCCAGGTGAGAAGGTCGTAGGTTGTAGTTGAGAATTAACTGCAAGTAGTATCTAGGATGGTGACGGACCCAAGCGAAGTGCAGGAACCAGGACTGTAGAAGATGGCGGAGAGCAGAGCTTAGGGCCTTTAGAGGAGGGAGCGTGAGGTGTGGTGTGGGCACCTCGTGGAATGGAAGGAGGTGCGGTCTGGGAAAGCAGGATAAGGAAGGGTCATGGGGATGGGGCGTGCACTTAGATCAGGAAAGCTTGAGAAAGACTGGATCCAGGAACTAGAGTGTCAAGGGCTTGGCACAGAGGATGCTGAGGTGGTAGGGGTCCTGCGGTGGGTGGGGTCAGAGGTGGTCACTTCCACGGGGGTGGGAGGGAGAGGCAGGTGGGACCTTTGGCAGGACAGAGTCAAAGGGAGGAGGGGAGGGCAAGAGGCAGGAAAATGGGGCTGGGGAGGTTGCAGTCTTGGAATCAAGAGCTAGGATGGCACAGGCTGTCTAATCTTGCCGGACACAGTTGAGGAGGTGAGAGATTCTGTTTTAAGAAAGGTGTGTTTGCCCTTACTTGCTTTGGTGGTGTGCAGAAATGACCAGAGAGCACACGTTGAAAACTCTTATTGTCTGGACTTAAATTACCAGCTTCTTTACTCAGTTTTCAGGTTTTGGCACTCTCATTCCCTCTGTTTACTCTTCCAGGTGTGTGGATCGTATCAACTCAGTGGTGTTCAGTTTGTTTCTATTTCAGCCATTCCTGAAAGCAGGCACAAACTTGAGAGAGGACTGGATTGTTGGCTTCTTGGAGTTAGGTTTTTGATTGCATGATAAGGTTTTCCTTTGGGATTGTAATTAAACACACACATCTAATGCTCCTCCCCTGGGACAGTTAATTATAGAAAAGATGTTTGCCTTTTCCATGTTGGTACTAGGAATGTATGATTCTTCCTGCCTTCTACTGAGAGTGGTGTAATTTTTTTCTTCTTTTCCTCCAGTAATAGTGGGAAAAAGATCAGGAGCAATGCAAATTCCTTTCTTCCCTGCATAGTTTTGAACAGTGTTGCATACCCTTTGTTGTTATAGTCTTTATCCCTTAGGCCTCGATTAGTTTATATTGTCTTGTACTGAAATAGATAAACTGCTATGGTAAATTAGTACTATATAGTTCTTGACCATCCAATGGTTACGATTCTGAACTGTTTTATTACACATTTTTGTTTTTTGTTTGTTTTGTTTTTTGAGACAGGGTCACACTTTTTAGTGGATGCTGGCCTTGAACTCACTGTGTAGCCCAGGCTGGCCCCAAACTCAGGGCAATCCTCCTGCCTGAGCCTCCTTGGTGCTGGGATTACAAGTGTGCACCAGCATGCCCAGCTCATTCTAAACCGTTGACAGATTGCTTTCTTCAGCATTTTAATGTAGTACACCCACCCCCTCCATCTTTTTCTCCCTCAATAGGAAAAATTTCTTTTCTTTTCCCTTCAGATTATTATCTGGTACCATAAACTCTGTGTCATGGAATCAGTCACATAGATCAGTTTCAGTTACAGAAATTCCTTGAAACAGATGATTTGAAGTGGAAATAGAGTTGAGCAGTAATGCAGTAATTACAATGTGACAAATGGAATTGAAAGTACAGTGGTGGGTTTATGTGTACTCTCTTGAGTGCATGACTGCATCTGCATTAGTTATCAAGTCTTGCTAAGTCACTAAATTACGTGGGCTGGGCTTGAACTTTTGATCATCCTGCCTCAGCCTCCCAGAGTGCTAGGATTACAGGTGCACACCACCATGCCTAATCAATTATACTTCTGCAACCTCATTGAGATTTGAAACAATATGGAGCTGATAGTTAGCCGAGGCTTAATTTTAGGGGTGGAAATTGTGCTGGTTTAGTCATGACTTCTATTTACCTTTTTCTGGTTTCACTTCTGTGCCTAATTTTTGTCTGCTTTTACTTTCTCGTGTATTCTTACCTTTCTGGAGTGCTGTGTTTCTCTATAGCATTATTTCCATCTTGTATTTCTGCACCTTTTCCCTCAACCCATTTTTTCCTCTTACGTTTCTGCATTACTCCTGTTGTGCTTGTGTACTTGTTGGTTGTGAAGGAGTGAGTAACAGAATCATGGGTGTATATGTTGATCCTTCTTTTTAGTCTTGACACATAGATCTGACTTATGTCTGCTTCCTTGCCAGTATGGCAAGCCTTCAGGCAAGGCTTGGGAATGGGTATTAGCCCTGACTCATTCTGGTGCTTTTGCTAGCTAGTATGTCCTTCATGGTTCTCTCCTACCCTAAAATAGGAATGTTAATCTATTAAATAAATTGAAGGTGTTCAATATTGTAAGATCTTGACTTTTCCATTTTAGCTGTTTGTGTGTCATCTGTTGCCACCTGTTAAATGTCAAGATGACTAAGCTTGGATTTTTGCGGTTGTCCTATGAGAAGCAGGACACACTTCTGAAGCTTCTCATTCTGTCAATGGCTGCTGTGTTATGTGAGTGTGCATGTGGGCCTTTATTTCTTTGGGGATGGAAAGAAGAAAGTCTTGAGAAAAATTGAAAATAACTTTCTTAAAATGCCTTGTACTTTTAGCAGATTTTTGTGGGGTTTTTTTGTTTTGTTGTTTTTGTTGTTTTTGTTTTTTGAGACAGGGTCTTGCTTTCTCATTCAGGCAGGCCTTGAACTCACTTTATAGCCCGTGCTGGCCTCAAACTCATGGTGAGCCTCCTGCCTCAGCTTCCCCACTGGCAGGATTATAGGTGTGCTAGCACACCTGGTTTAACAGATTATTATTTGTTCTTTTTACTATTCCTCATCATGATAATTTTATGAAGACATAATAAAAGAAACATAAGGAATGTGAAAGGGGTAGTAGATATCTGGGAAGCATGTTGTGATAATTCTGTTTTCTTAGAGGGCTGAAAGATACTGGAGACCATTGGATACTGACTTTTTTTTTGTACTGGGGATGGAATTTAGGACCCTCTGCCTGCAAGGCAGGCCGCGGAACCACTGAGCCAAACTCCTGTCCCACACCTGGCTTATTGAAAGTCTTTTGAGAACTCAATTCTGATTTTAGATTTTCTGACTCTTCATGAGTCATAAGTTGAGTTTTGCTTGGCATATCTCATCGTTTGCTCCAAGGTTAAGGTTAGTGCTACCATGTGCATCTATCTGTCTAGACTTTGTAAAAGATGACCATATCAGTATTGATAGGTGAATATAATGTTTTAGGCTTTATATAATAAGTAGTTAAATGTGTCTTAACCAAAGTGGAAAATGTAGATGCCATTGCTTGACTAATTTTGTTTCCTCTATGAGAGGAGAGATGGATAAAGACTTTATTCAGGGATTATTTTGTATTTCCTGTTAGCCTTGTGCTGCATAATTTTATTTTGTCTGTAAGGACACTATTTATCTACTATTGCTTTGTCATCACACATTACCATAAAAATATTCATTCTCTGATTTTTGTAGCTTTCTCCACTCGTCTCTTTGCTGTCCTGAGATTTGAAAGTGTTATCCACGAGTTTGATCCGTGAGTACCTTTGCTTTGTCTGGTGTTATTTGGGAGGGATTCAGATTTATGGGTTTCAGGTTAAATTCCGGTCAGCTCTTGGTGATGAGGGTGTGTTTTCAGAGCAGTTAAGGCAAGAGTTCTTCAAGTTTTCCACAGGACATAATCATCTCTTTGAAACATTTCCATTGCAACTGTTCAGGTGAGTCTTACAATCAAGAAATGTGAACAGCGTTACTGGTATGTCTAAAATCTGCCTAGGCCAAAATAAGTGTGCCTTCTCAGTTTGGTCAAGTGTTAATGATGCAGATTAAGGGCCTGGTGTATATTCAAGGCTCAGAGAGAATTACAAATCATGAATTTGTGATCCATGGCTGTTTTTGTTGTTTTCTGTTTAGCCATTTATAGAATAGAAATTGGGTTTATTCTAAAGCCTTAAAAAATACAATATTAAAGCTATGAGTTTGATTAGGGATTGTGTTTATTAGATTAAAAATAGATTTTGTTTATTAGATATGGGTGAAAACCCTCAATTTTCCTTTTTTTTGTATGTGTGTGTGTTTTTTTTAAACTGGGGAATAAACCCAGGGCCTCGGTTCTAAGCTACATCCCCAGCCCCCTGTGTAAATTTATTTTGAGGCAAGGTCTTGCTAAGTTGCCCAGATTAGGCTCAAATTTGTGATTCTGCTGTCTTAGCCTCCCTGAATGCTGGGATTACAGGCATGCATCCTCATGCCTGGCTCTTGGTAGCTTTAATAACTAACATTTATCAAGCATTCGTTGTAGTTCAAGAAGTATTTTACAGATGATTGTTACGACCTTACAACAACCCTATGAGATATAGCAAATATGAGGAGACCTAGGCTGGGAGAGGTTGTCCAAGGTTGTACATTTAGTAAACAGAGGAGTCAAGATTGGAATGTAGTTTTATCTCATTCCTGACACTGCAGTCACTATATTTCCTAAAATTAGGGGTTATGAAAAATCAGAATCATAGGTTCTTAGAATATCATTTATACTTTAAAAACCACATATTCACCTGGGAGCATTGAGTCAAAAGTTTAATGCCAAAAAAAAAAAAAAATGTTTAATGCCTATACCTGTTTGCAGATTTATCATTTTGTTTTGTGTAAATAGCTAAAAGAATTTGGCAGCATTGCAGATTTTCTTTCTGGGGCCTCCAAAAATCAATGTATATTTTTCTCTTGATTGAGGAAACTCATATCCTTTATTTTTCTTGATAAGATTATTAGAACTTGGACTGGGGATTTAGCTCAGTGGTTCTGCTGCCTGCCTTGCAAGCGCAAGGTCCCAAGTTCAATCCCCTGTACCAAAAAAAAAATAAAAAGATTATTAGAACTTCTTTCTCACACCCTCTAGATGAGCAAATATTAAGGTGAGTAGATCAGGGAAAACAAAGATATCTATTCTGTAGTCACAGAACTGGAAGGAATCATAAAGATTATGTGATTTGGCCCTTTTGCTGAGGAGGAGACAGGTCCATTCTAAACTAACCTACATGTCCTCTCACTCTGCCTCCTACTAGGGGGTAAAGGACACCATTCTGACACATGTCAACTGCCTGCTCCCCTCATAACTTCTGTCTCTGACAGTAACCAAAACAACATCTATCAGTGATGAAGCCATCTGTTGCTTCTACTTAGTTTAGGTGCCAAAACTTGACTGACCTAAGAGAAAATAGCTTAGGAAGGTGGGCAGGGAGGATATTTGTGTTTTGTGTTTTTTGTTTCTTGTTTCTTAGTGACAGGATCTTGCTCTGTAATTCAGGTTGGCCTTGAACTCACTATGTACCTCACGCTGGCCTTGAACTCATGGCAATCCACCTGCCTCAGCCTCCTGAGTGCTGGGATATAGATGTGTACCACCATCTCCAGCTTCGGCAGGGAGAATATTTAGTCATGATTATCTGCAGTATTTAAACTCTTCCTAATTTGAGACACATTCAAGCATTCATTTGTGGTTCTGGGAATTGAACTTGGGACTTTGGGCTTGCCAGGCAGTTGTGGCACCACTGAGCTACATCTCCTGGCATTTACTTATTTATTTATTTATGTCTTTTTTTTTTTCTTATTTCCTTTTAAATGGGAAATTAGTAAGGGCTTACCTAACTTAGACCTAAAGAACTGTCTTTCCATGTGTAATGCAAAGCATTTCACATCAGATATTTTTTATGTAATCTGTATTTATATACTACAATGTAGGTGGCATTCAGATGTATTTGAAATGACCAGAGTAGATCTTATTACAAGTTTAAACCCATCAAATAGCTTGTGTTATGGTGTGGATTGACATTTTCACCTTGCATACGGTTTTATACCAACATCTTTAAAGATGTTCATCCCTTGAAGTTACCCATGTGTTGGTGTGTGGTTCAGAACTCTTTTTGTGTGTGTTCCTTGTCACTTGAAATGGGCAAAATTTATCGGTGCCCACCTCTCGTGGTCTTGTCTTATGAGCACGTAAATTCCCTTGATAGGTCTTGTCACCTGCCACATACCGGCCTGGTGAATTATGCTTGAATGTTTGTGGTGACATTGGGCTCCAAGTTCACTCCCTTAAGAGAAAAGCAACACTTTAGTTGAGACATGGATGGCATACAAAGGAAGAGTCATATGGTACTGTAGTGATTTTTGGTACCAAACTGACCTATTCAAGTAATAAGTTCCTCAGTGCTATAGCCTGAAGAGGAAAATTCATTTCAAATTAGTAAAGTATTTGGGAAGAAAAGGAGACATGGACCTTTTATTTTTCCTGCTATAGGTACTTTAATTATCGGACTACCCGGTTCCTTGCTGAGGAGGGATTTTATAAATTCCATAACTGGTTTGATGACCGGGCCTGGTACCCTTTGGGACGGATCATTGGAGGAACAATTTACCCAGGTGAGAGGAACAGGATTAAAAAAAAAGGTGTAGTATTTGTACATAAGAGAAAAATTTCTTTTATTTCTAATAGCTTCATTGCATGACACTTGTAATTTCATACTGATTATAGATTTCCAAAAGCAGATCTTATTTAAGACAGTAGAATACGTGTGAGAGAATGAAGATGGGTAGTTTTTCATACATTCTAGATTTCCGATTGAATCCTTCAGAGGGAAATTTAGAGGCCTGCCACAGTTGCTGTGCTGGTGTTCTTGTGATTTGTTAAGATCTCTGTGGTCACTTTATTGATAATTAAATTGGTCCTTTCTCTTTCCCTTAAGTTCTTCATGTTACCAGGACAACCTAATGGAATTTCTTCTTCCTGTGTTGCAGGCTTAATGATCACCTCTGCTGCAATCTACCATGTTCTTCATTTTTTCCACATCACCATTGACATTCGGAATGTCTGTGTGTTCCTGGCCCCACTCTTCTCCTCCTTCACCACCATCGTCACGTACCACCTTACCAAAGAGCTCAAGGTGAAGGATTTGGGGTGACAAGAGGCTTGGGAATGAATGTTGTTGAACCTCCCTAGTAGATGCTGGAGGGTGGGAGACTGAAGACCTGACAGAGGTAGGGAGAAAGAGAGGCTAGGGACTGTGTCTGTTGGGGTGAATTAATTGGATTTAGTCCAACCCTTCCCTTGAATATGTGGTTTCTCTTTTTTTGGTACCAGGGATCAAACTCAGGACCTAAACCCCTGGTCTGAATATGTGGTTTCTTATCATTAGCAAGTGTTTGTACTTAGGAGAGGACATTTGAAAGTCAAATGTAAAGTGCTACATGAAGGGAAAAAAATCATGTGAAATGGAAATGTGAGGTTTAAATTTTTTTGTCTTTTTTGTTTTGTTTTTGCTGGGGATCAGACCCAGGGTCCTACACATACTAGGCAAATGCTGTACCACTGAGCTGTACCCTGAGATTTAGATTGGAAGCCCTAAAAATGTAAGGGAAAGGGAAAAACAACAGCAAAACCCCAAAAAACATCTATGTGAAGTTTTTAAAGGTGTTTATTCTTTCAGAAATAAGCACTTAGCAATTGTTTGTTTAAGCGTTCATTTGAAAATTCTTACACCATTTGGCTTCTGTAATTGACTATAATGCTGACTCTCCTTTTTTCCAGGTTTCAGCTTTGCTGACCCTGGTTCCTTGGAATCTGTTCTTAGTCAGTGGCTTGGTATTAAGGAGATGCCTGAGAAGTGATAAAGTAGTAGGAGGGCTTGGGAAGCCTGAATTTACTTTGGAAAACTTACCGTCCTTCTTGTTGCCCTTGTCCCAGATTTGACTCTAATCAAGCAACAGACAAGTCTTTTTTCTTTTGAAGTGTGGGTTATATTTTGTTTCTCTTTTTTCCTGAGATCAAAGCTTGCTTGATGATACTCCAACTTTATTATTTCAGCTCCTGACATCTTCAGGCCAGGTGGATTGGCTTTTTAAATAATAATTCTCTCCCTTTGATTGTCATTGCATGGCTTTTAGATGTGTGACTAGCATTCTTATGATGTGTAATCATTGTTAGATGAAAAGGACTGATAAGTCTGGTGATACATATAGCCCAACTGCCTATTCTGGGGCAAGCTTTGATGGTTGACAGCACACAGGATTTGTCTGTTTTCAGCATATGAATACTCAGTTTTAGGCTTGGTGTCATCATGGGAAAATGGTTGTGAAGTTTTTAGCTTTTTTTTTTTTTTTTTTTTAGCTTTTAGCTTTTTTGTGCTGTGAACATTTCTACCGTTTTTAGCATCTCATATTTACCTTAGAAATTATTGGATTCTCTCTGGGTCCATTATAAACAGAATGGACTAGTGGAGCCTCCATTCTTTAATAGGTATATTGGTGTTATCTGCTTATTGTCCATCTTTTCTTACTAGGACGCAGGGGCTGGGCTTCTTGCTGCTGCCATGATTGCTGTAGTTCCTGGATATATCTCCCGATCTGTGGCTGGCTCTTATGATAATGAAGGTAAGACTTTTAAAATGCTGGAGGGGATTGTTTAGGGGGTCTGTTTTCTTCATTCTCTAATAGAACTTCACAAAGTAAAGCACAGTTTGGATTCAGATCCTCTGCTTAGCAGTAATAAAAATGGAACCTGATGAGATTAGAAATGGCAGGAAGAGTTCTAGTACAAATTCACATTCTCCTGTTATCTCCTCTAGGAAGGTAGCTGGAAAGTTTGTTTTACAAGCCTTTGGTTCATCTCTGGACTCAGAGTTAAATAAAACAGAGTTTTAAAATTTTCCTAAATAAAGGGTATAGGTGTCCTTACAATTGTGATGACTTAAAAACTTATTTTATTTTTTGTTTGTTTTTTGAGACAGGATCTCCTATTCAACTCAGGCTGGTCTTGAACTCTCTTATCTATGTAGCCTGGGCTAGACTCAAATGAGTAATCTTTCTGCCTCTGCCTCCTGATAGCTGGGATTATAAATGTGTGCCACCATGTTTGGCTCTTTATTGACTTATTTTCAATTTAACATGTATTTATTAAATGTTATTGGGAAAACATAGGGTTTTCCTAAACATAGGGCCTCCTCCATAGGATTAAATATTAGAAAGATTGAGAATGGATAAGATTATTTTGGCTCACAATTAAGAAATTGAAAGGATAGATAATAAATAAGATCATGTTGGCCCATAATCTCTATGTTAAGATAAAAATGAACCTGTAAAGATAACTCCAATGATAGGCAGATAGTGCTGTATGCCATGATAGAAATATGACAGAGTACTTTGGGAATGTAGTACAAGGAGATATTAATTTTGATTTGGGAATCAAGGCTTTTTGGAAGTAGTTGAAGTTGAACTGGGCCCTGAAGTTGGACTCCATTGAGCAACTATTAAGGAGAGCAGCAATCAGCCTAACAGCCAACTTGTGTTCATGTGCAGAGGTAGGATGGTGTGTGATAATATGAGATGACTTTAGAACCAGGAGGAAATTTAATTCCTGGAAAGAATAATAACGACTGATGTTTATTATATCCTTACTATATGTTCTGTTGTAAGTGTTTTATGTGAATTATGTTTGTCTTCACAACAGTTATATCAAATAGATACTGTTACAGGAAACTGAGGCTCCCTTTTACAGGAAACTGAGGCAAAGGGCAGTAAAATAATTTGCCTAAAACTATAGTATTAGGTCTGAGCTATGACTTCAGATAGTCTTTATTTCAGAGCAATTTTTTCATCATTATGCTAACATGACCTCTTCTTGAATTTTTGGTGTGTTTTTTCCTTCAGGGATTGCCATCTTTTGCATGCTACTCACCTACTACATGTGGATCAAGGCAGTAAAGACTGGTTCCATCTACTGGGCAGCCAAGTGTGCTCTCGCTTATTTCTACATGGTAACTTTTTCCACTTTTTATTTTCTGTGCTGAGAATGAAACCTATCATGCACTCTTGGCAAGTGTGTTATTACTGAGCTATGCCACCAGCCCCTTTACGTGTTCTTAATTTCTAAAGTTCTTCAAATACTCTATATCCTATGAATACATGTTGGTTGACCAACCTTCTTTTCTAGTACGTTGCTTTTAAATTTTTCCTTTTCAAAGGAAAGAAGGGAAAGGGAAAAGTATGAGAAAAGGAAAAAATGGAAACAAAGTCTTTGTAAATAGGGAAGGGTGGAGGGATTGAAGGGAGGGCAGGGAATGAGGAAAAAATAAGAACCAAGACACATCATGTACAGGTACAAGGACCCAATGATAAATGTAATCGTATTGTACACCTAAATGTACCAATAAAAGAATTTAAGAAAAAAATATATATATATATTTTTTTTCTGTTCAGTTTTAGATACACACTTAGACTTTCTTTCCTGAACTGATTCTAGTTGCTCACATATCCCTAAATTCTCTGTGGGAATGGCACAGTGGATTGTGTAGATTAACCCTGAGGTTTGTGTATGTCTTGTTATATGGTCATGATGTCAGCAGCCATAAGGAAGAGGGGATTAGCTTTCAGTAATGGGTTTGAATATGATTTTTTTCTACTTAAAAAAAAAGCAGTTCTTTACTCTCTTTAAGCAACTTAGCATAAATAAAGTTTATAGTTAATATAAAGAGCTTGTTTGGAGGTTCTAGCAGGGGAGCGCAGCTACTTGTTTACCCTTGACTGAGGAAATGGTCCTCTCTACTGGGGGTGGTCGTCCTCTTTGACTGAGCGCGCAGCTTTGGGAGGTACGCACATGGAGTGGTGAGGGAGGAAGGGGACACCCGGCTAGCCAGCCATATCAGCCGAATCAACCCTGGTGGATCAATGGGGTGACAGATGTCACAGCCAGATCGCCCTCACATCCAGTTTATAGTTAATATAAAGAAATGTTCTTTAAGGGCCAGGGATTTAGCTCAGTGGTTCTGCCGCCTGCCTTGCAAGCACAAGGTCCCAAGTTTGATCCCTGGTACCAAAATAGAAATGTTCTTTAGAAAGGTTTCAGGTGGCCAGGTGTGGTGGCTCATGCCTGTAATCCCAGCACTCTGGAAGGCTGTGGTAGTAGGGTCGCAAGTTTGAGTCCAGCCTCAGCAACTTAGCCAAGACTCTACATCAGAATTTTAAAAGGGCTGGAGGTGTAACTCAGTGTGAAGGTGCTGAGTTCAATCCTCAGTACTGGTGGTGGGATGAGTCACAGGTGATACAGGCAGTGTTGGTGAATCTTTTAGAGCTTTCAAAGATAACAAACAGCTGGCTGTGGCACATGTGCCTTAGGTTCGTCACCAGTGTCCTGAGGTATAGTGGTGGTGCTCAGAGGAAGAACTGTTCTTTCCATCCTGCTGTAGGTCTCTTCCTGGGGAGGTTATGTGTTCCTGATCAACTTGATCCCTCTCCATGTCTTGGTGCTGATGCTCACAGGCCGTTTCTCCCACCGGATCTACGTGGCCTACTGCACTGTTTACTGCCTGGGCACCATTCTTTCCATGCAGATCTCCTTTGTGGGTTTCCAGGTAAGCCCTGACTGAGTAGGGATTTCAGCTTCTTCCACTTTTCTGTGTGGGTCCAACTAGACTGATTTGTCTCAGATTCAGTTAAGAGGAGGAAATATTTACAGCTTTGATCTTGGACTGCTTATGTTAATTGAAGCAACAAAATTACTGGTCATTAAGTCTAGGAGTATGTTAATATTTGGTTCATGAATTTTGAATTTAATGGCTCTTACTTTGGCTTAGGTTTGTGGGAGAGGGAGGGATGTTTTGGTTGAGCTGAGTTAATGTTACTGATAAAAGTTATAATTTTAAAAAGCCCATAATTTCTAGTCTCTTTTAACGCTAATAACCTCATTTAATAGCAGTGAATCCTAATCTTAGTAGGGCCTATGTGTTAATCCTTCAGGAAGCAGAGCATAAATCTTTTAACTACTTTACTACATAGGGCTAACAGACAACTCTTAAAGAATAATGTGATGTGTTTGATTTCTCATTTAAGATTCTCATAAAAGCGGAATCTTTATTCAGAGGTCAGCAGATATTTCTTTCTTTACTGATTAACCTACTATTTGTAATTTGCTAATCACTGTGAAACACAAAGAGATTTGAAGTATATCCTGGTTCTTACAGAAGTTACAGTCTTGAGGGGAAAGATATACCTGCAGCTGTCTGTAACTTACAGTATATTTGCTGTAGGATTTTCTTTTTGTCCTTTTTTTTTGGTACTGGAGATTGAACTCAGGACCTTGCGCTTGCCAGGCAGGCAGCAGCACCACAGAGCTAAATCCCCGGCCCTTTTTTTGTCCTTTTTGAGACAAGGTCTCACTTTGTAGTCCAGGCTGGCCTTAAACTTGGTATGTAGCTCAGGCAGGTATAATGGTTCTGGAAAATAGTTTTCACAGGAGCACCATCAGCAGCATCTGGAAACTTGTTTGAAACACAAATTCTGTAGCCTATTACAGACCTCCTGTTTAGTTACCTTCTTGTTGCTGAGACAAAATATCCAATCCCCTCCCCCCAATCTACACCCACAAGTTAAAGGAGGAAAGGTTTATTTTAGCTCACAGTTTGTAGAGGTTTCAGTCCATAGTCAGCTGGCCCTAATGCAGGGTACCGGGGCAGGAGCTCATGGTGTGGCAGGCAGGAAGCAGTGAGTGCTTAAGGCAGGAGGGATATATATATATATATGTATCCTATATATATATATGTCCAGACCACATCCACAGTGACCCACCTCCTCCCATCAGGCTTCACCTCCCGGTATCACACCCAGCTGTAGACCTGTCAGACTAATCTAGTATCACACGCCCTTGATCCAGTCACCTCCCAAAAGCCCCACCTGTGAGCATATCAGGCTTTGGGGGGGCCATCTACATATAAATCATAACACCTCCTGACTCAGAGACCTTGAGTGGGGCTCAGTCACCTGTTTGAACACCCTCACTGGTTATTGGAGAATCACTGGTCTAAAGCAAAGAGTGCTAAGTGCTAGAAGAGATCTAGAGTGCTGTGGAACATAGAAGGGAGTGATTGGTTTGGCACATTAGGAGTGTTTGCATTGTATCATGAATAGTGAGAATTTCACTGGATGGAAATTTTGGGGAAATTGCAGTCTGGACTAAGGAAATATCTGGAGCAAAAGGCAGAGACATGATTTTGATGGTGTATGATATCCTTTGGGGGACTCTTAAATAGTCTTTGAAAATATGGCAGGTGTGTTAAACCCTTCCCCAGGTTGGCCCTCAATCCCTTGGGAACCTTAGAACTCATTTGACACTTTGGGCTGAAATAGATCAGAATAATGAAGATGGGGGCTGGATTTGACTCATTTATTTTTTCTGCAAACATTGTTACCTACATTACCTAATGTTTTTTCCTATAGCCTGTCCTTTCATCAGAACACATGGCAGCCTTTGGAGTCTTTGGTCTCTGCCAGATTCATGCATTTGTGGATTACCTGCGCAGCAAGTTGAATCCACAGCAGTTTGAAGTTCTTTTCCGGAGTGTCATCTCCCTGGTAGGGTTTGTCCTACTCACTGTTGGAGCGCTTCTCATGCTTACAGGTAGGGAAGGGTCACAGCTTGTAGTATAAAATGCAAATGGGTAGAGACACAGAATAAACTCCAGAAAGACAGGATATTTTCTGACCACAGAAGATTCTTTTCCTTCTGTTTTTCTTTTTGTTTTAAACACAAAATCACTTTTTCACATTGTCCCTTGTCAGCTCAGTGTTTGGATTCAGCGTATCAGAGAATGTCTCATTAGAGCTATTTCTTGTTTTTTTTTTGTTTTTTTTTTGGTACCGGGGGTCGAACTCAGGACCTTGCGCTTGCGAGGCAGGCGCCGGAACCACTGAGCTAAATCCCCGGCCATTAGAGCTATTTCTGATCACATCTGGTAAAAGGACTGTATCTTACCTTGCTAATCTTTTTAAGTTTTTTTTCTTTTCTTTCCTATTAATTGGGTGGTAGAAATCCTCCTATTCCTTGTTATACTTTATATTATGACACTCGTCTAATCCTGTGGGAACTAAATGATGGCTCTTTGGTTTGGTGGGCATGCCATATTTTCCTTCTCCATTTTTCCAACTTTTACTTTTCAGGGGCTATTTTGATTTTGCCTACGTCTCTGTGTTGGCTAATTCAGAGCAAGACTGGAGAATATAATTCACATAGTCTCTGGAGTTGGCCTTGGTTTGACCACCTTAGGCCTGAAACCTTTCCAGGAATTTTTTTCTTCCTCTATTCTCTCTGAATTTATGTACAACCCAGTTTTATTCTGCTGGCTATATTGACAAAAGTTCTCAAGTTTGAAAGAAAACAAGTGAAACTCTGAGTACTATGTTGAAGCCAAAACTTAGTCCTTCTCTGTCTTTGAATCTTATTAAAATAGGATGTTGTAATTAGTTAGGTTAAGATGTTTGTTTTAAGAGCATAAATGACATTTTTTGTCTTTTTGCTGCCAGGAAAAATATCTCCGTGGACAGGACGTTTCTATTCATTGTTGGATCCTTCTTATGCTAAGAACAACATTCCCATCATTGCTTCTGTGTCTGAGCATCAGCCCACCACCTGGTCCTCCTACTATTTTGATCTGCAGCTCCTTGTCTTCATGTTTCCAGGTCTGTCTGCCTTGTATTCTGAAGTGGGCTTTGTAAGAATTCCCCCTTTCATTCCAAATACGTCAACTGCCCTCATCCTTATTTGGTTTGCCTGTTTGTGCTGTATAGGACAGAGGATGGCTAAGCACATGTAGAAGTCAGAAGTTATAGATGTTGGCAAGTTCAGAACCTCAGAATTTTCTCTTCCTTTGTGTTGTAATTTAAGATCTAACTTCTAATTTTTTTCTTTTTTTTTTTTTTTAGTATTCTTAATGTACTTCAACCCTTTCACCTCATTTTTCCACTTGACAGTATTGAACTTCCATAATGGGAATTGCTGAGTGTAAAGCCTCTTCATTATCTTCTAGCCAGTTCACACGATTTAGAATTTACCAGTGTTAGTAGTCTTTTTGTTTTATAAAATAACTTATTTTTTTATTGTGAAAGTAATTTTTATGTTATAAAAAATAAAAATTAAGAATTGCAGGAGTACTTACCACTTTTCGTCACTATTAACATTTTAATAAATATTCATCTGCTTATTTATTGAGTAAAAATGAGATCATACACTTTTCCTCCCTGGTCATAAAGAATCGTATTAGGGCTGGGACTGTAACTTCATGGTACAGCACTTCTTGATAAAGCACTTGCCTTGGATTTGCAAGGTCCTGGGTTCAGTGCCCAGTACTGTGAAAAGAAAAAGAATCATGATAATCTCTTATTTAATATCATTTTATAGAAATATTTAAGGTATGTCATTTTTTTAGAGTACAGAGTTGTGTAAAGATGTATAAGAAGGCAAATAGTTCATATCTTCAGTGTAATACTATTTTAAATGATGTCCATTTTTTTTTGGTACCGGGGATCGAACTTGGGACCTTGCACTTGTGAGTCAGGCGCTGGAAACATTGAGCTAAATCCCTGGCCCTAAAGAAAATGATTCCATTTTTAAAATATGCTTCACTTAGCTTCTTTGCTTGAGATTTATTTTTTGTGATACCGGGGATCGAACTCAGGACCTTGCTCTGGCGAGGCAGGCAGGGCATCACTGAGCTAAATCCCTGGCCCTTTTTTTGATATTTTAAAGCATGTTTTAGTAAACATCTTTTTATGTTTCTATGATTTTTTTTTTTAAGGACAAAGTCCTGGAAGTGGAATTGCTGGGTTGCGTGGCATCATCCAGTCATACAGTGAAAATACTTTCCCTTGTAGGTTTCTATCTACAGGGCTCAGTTGCTTACTTCTCCTTCCTTCTTTTATAGTTGGACTCTATTACTGCTTTAGTAACCTGTCTGATGCCCGGATTTTTATCATCATGTATGGTGTGACCAGCATGTACTTCTCAGCTGTAATGGTGAGGAATGCTCTCAGTCCTAGCAAAACTTTCCACACCTAACTCAGAGGTGCTTTTTGTTTGTTTCTGCCTGGTAGGATTTAGAAAATACTAATGATTGGGCAAACGTATCTCTACAGGCACTTGGACGACTGAGTTGTAAAGGTTCTTGCTGTTGTTGATCCTCCCAGGAATATACAAGACACTAATACATTCTAGTAGTGGGAGTCAGCTTTCTTGTGTTCATAATACTTTGTTAGTGAGGCACTCTTGCACTTTTTTTTTTCTTTGAAGGTTAAAAATTTTATTTTATTTTATTTATTTATTTTTGGTACCGGGGATCGAACTTGGGTCAAAAATTTTATTTTTGAGAAAATTTTTACTGCACGTTTCCAAAGAGAGTCACAAAAGAAAGCAAAAATGTTGTCCTTCCCCCATCCTAAAAATAAAAAAGGCAAAACTTTTTTTTTAAATCATGACACTTAGAAGTTTAGCACCAGTATCCAAATTGAACAAAAAAGGAAAAAAAGCATTTACTACATAATAATTTCAGATTTCTTTGGTTGGGGTACTCCCCATGTAGTATTAATATTTCTTCTTTCAATTACCAAAACAGTAAAAATCAGGAAAAAAATGTAAACCTAGTGGTAGCTGAAACTGGGGAGGATGCTCTCCTATATCCTGTGCCGGCATTCCTGGGCTTACAGTTGGCTAGAAATATTTTCTGACATCTTCTTCTTGCAGTTTTTAGTTTCTCAAAGAATAATGGTAAACATTCCATTGTCCAAATCTTATTTAGTCTTCCACTTTATTGCTTAGATGTTTCTTTGGTGTTGGTAAGGTTAGCTTTATTTTTGAATGGTTATTCTTTAGATCACCAAAAATGTGGAATGCTTCACGAATTTGCGTGTTATCCTTGCGCAGGGGCCATGCTAATCTTCTCTGTATCATTCCAGTTTTAGTATATGTGCTGCTGAAGTGAGACCACTTTTGCACTTTGTTAGAGAATTTGACCTGTGTATCTTTAAATGAGGGATTGTTTTTTTTTAAGGCCTGGGAAAATTATCCATTGATAGATTGAAAGACAAGAGGGATTTTATATGTTGTAGTAAGATGGTGTTTTTCATATTGTTTTGATCTCAAACTACAGTTAAGAATATATTTTATATCATTATTCAGGACACATATATACACATATATAACTGCAACAAAGTTTGAAATATATATGAAATTTTTTGTTTGTTTGTTTGTTTGTTTGAGACAGGATCTCACTATGTAGTTTAGGCTGGCCTTGAACCCACTATTCAGACCAGACTGGTCTCAAACTCATGGTGATCCTCTTGTTTCAGTCTTCTAAATGCTGAGATTACAGGCATGCGCCACCACACCGAGCATTTATATATGTATTGCTACTGTAGCTATACTACATATTTTTTATTTCACTTTTATTGAAAAAAATTAGATGATGAAAACCCCTAAGTTGATGTGATAGTCTATTAATAAATTGAATTCTGTAATTTGTAAAGCACTGGTTAGGCTGATCATGATTCCTATGTTTTTTAGGTGCGTCTCATGCTAGTGTTGGCACCTGTTATGTGCATTCTTTCTGGCATTGGAGTCTCCCAGGTGCTCTCCACATACATGAAGAATCTGGACATAAGTCGCCCAGACAAGAAGAGCAAGAAGCAGCAGGACTCTACTTACCCTATCAAGAATGAAGTGAGAATTAAGCAATAATAGTAACAGCCTTGGGAAACTGTACGTGTGTGTGTGTGTGTGTGTGTGTGTGTATGTGTGTGTGTGTGTATGTGTGTATGTGTGTGTTTCTATGTATTTGGGTTGGGAAGTACAATAGAGCACTATCAAGGTGGTCAGAATTAACTCACATAGCCCCTGACTTCCTAATTTTTTTCCCAACTTTTTTCTTTTTGGTACTGAGGATCAAACTCGGGACCTTGTACTTGCGAGGCAGGCGACGGCACTACTGAACTAAATCTCCGGCCCTCCCCTAATTTGTTTTGATTCATGGCATTTATATTATTAACTGTGTGTAAGAAGGCATCTGGTGTTGTGTAAATCCAGTTTGGTTTATTACACAATTCTTCTTCCTTTTTTAGGTGGCAAGTGGAATGATACTGGTCATGGCTTTCTTTCTCATCACCTACACCTTTCATTCAACTTGGGTGACCAGTGAGGCCTACTCTTCTCCCTCCATTGTGTTATCTGCCCGGGGTGGGGATGGCAGTAGGATCATTTTTGATGACTTTCGAGAAGCATATTACTGGCTTCGTCACAATACTCCAGAGGTGAAAATTTGGGTAGAGTGGGATTCTGGGGTAGGGGAGAAGGGGAAGACATTTGACTTTTTTTTTTTTTGAGACGGGTCTCACCCTATAATTCAGGCTGGCCTTGAACTTACTATGTAGCCCAGGCTGGCCTCAAACTCATGGTGATCCTCCTGCCTCAGCCTCCTGAGTGCTAGGATTACAGGCATGTGCCACCATGCCTGGCAACATTTGACATTATAATGACTCATAGCATTTGAGTGGGTGGAATGATTGGAGATACTAGAATATTAGAAACTTGGTTTTAAATGCACTTTAGTGGCTAACCACCATTCAATTCAGGGATTTCTTCTGTAGTGATTCTTAATTATCTACACTTTGCTTGGATACTTGTGTTGATATGATGGTGATATCAGTGTGGTGTCAGTTTTACACTTGATCTTAGTCAAAAGGCTGAGAAGTGATAGGTATCAATTCTAAAAGAAGAAAAAGTTATAAATAATATATATTCATTGTAGGTAAACCAGAAAATAGAAGCAAGCAAAAGATCTAAATCATAAAGTTATCTATCACCTAATGATAACACTTTTTAAAAAATTAAATATTTTTGCAAGCTTTAATATTAAGGTAGCAAAAGAAACATGCTCTGCAGAGTGAGTGCAGGCCAATTAAAAGTAGGAAAATTAGTGCACTCTGCACCAAAGTGAAAAAGAGCACAGTGGCCAAATTTTTGTTTTTTAGAAGAGACAAGAATTTATGGGCCAGGGATTTAGCTCAGTGGCACTGCACCTGACTTGAAAGTGCAGGGTCCTGAGTTTGATCCCCGGTACCAAAAAATCCCCTCAAAAAATGAATTTATATAGATCAGGGTATAGTAGAAGAGCTACTTTTAATATTTTACCTTTTTTTTTTTTTAACATTTTAGTTTATACCTTTTGAGGATCTAAAGTGATTTCTTTTGCAGTAGCCATTAGTAATAGCCTTTTTAAGTTTTTTATTTTTTGGCTAAAAAGTGAACCTAGGGTCTTGCACATGCAAAGCAGGCACTTACCACTGAGTGAGAAACTAAGAGTCCTTTTTGCATCACATCTGGTGATTTCCATTTCATTTTTTTTTGGTACTGGGGATTGAACTCGGAACCTTGCGCATGCAAGGCAGGCAGTAGAACCACTGAGCTAAATCCCTGGCCCTCCATTTCATCTTTATAGCTGATTTTTGTGATGCTTCTAAAAGGTCATTCATTTAATAAATTTACTTAATGGTATTAGGCTATTTATTTGCCTGTATTACATAGGCCCCTAAAACTTCTACTTTCTCATGGGAAGTGATCTGGGATGAAGGTTTTGGGAATATTGGATTGTATATAATTTGTGGTGAGATTTTCTGATTGTATGTAAATAAATGGAGAAGCAGGTACCAAGGAGCAGGTGCCAAGATTTATTTTCTGGCTAAGACTGCATTAGTTTGTGAAGAAATTGATTAGGGACCGGGGATTTAGCTCAGTGGTTTCGCTGCCTGCTGCACAAGCGCAAGGACCCGAGTTCGATCCCCGGTACCAAAGAAAAAAAGAAATTGATTAGTTAGCCAGGCCTTACTATCAGCCCAAAAGATGCTTCTCCATTCCTTCTCTGTTGTTTCCATTTTTCCATTCTTTCAGGACGCAAAAGTTATGTCATGGTGGGATTATGGCTATCAGATTACAGCTATGGCAAATCGGACAATTCTAGTGGACAATAACACATGGAATAATACCCATATTTCTCGAGTAGGGCAGGTAAGGTAAAGGGATCCTTTGGGTGTTTGATATGTAAAAAGACTAGTGGGAAATACACCTCCATGAGGAGGTCATATGACTTGAGTCTTTGCTCTGAGAATTGTGCATTTACTTTTTTAGGCAATGGCATCCACGGAAGAAAAAGCCTATGAGATCATGAGGGAGCTTGATGTCAGCTATGTGCTAGTCATCTTTGGAGGCCTCACTGGGTATTCCTCTGATGGTAATGTACTAGATTTTCTTTCTAGCTGCAGGACATAGATTCTAAGAAAACAAATGAATCTCCTGTTTTTTTGTCCTTTTACTTTTGCAATAAATAGGAAATAAATATAAATAATTCTCATGGAGATAAGACATACTATGATTACCTAGAGATATAGGAGTATTTCCACAACTAAAGCCAAAGCACAAAAGGCTCTTGAAAATGAACTTCAGAATTAGCACTGCCTGGGCATAGTGGCACACATCTGCAATCCTAGTGCTCTTGGAGGCTGTGGCAGGAGGATCACAAGTTCAAAAGCCCAGCCTGGGGAACCTTGTGACTTAACAAGACTCTCTCACAAAATAAAAAAGTAAAAAAGGGGGTTGGTTGGGGGATGTAGCTGAGTGTGAAGGTCCTGGGTTCAGTCTGTAGTATGAAAAAAAAATTTAGCATTGTTTAGTGGATTTAAACTGTATAATTGTCTTCCAGCTTAAAATGTATTTTAGATATGTATATATGAAATGTATGTACTCACACATATATAATGTATACGTGTATCTATACAATCAGCATTCTGTATCCATATATTCTGCAGCCATGAATTCAAACAACTATGGATTGGGAATATTTGGAAAGAAAAGTTTTTATCTATACTGAATTTTGTCATTGTTCCCTAAACAATAAAATGTAACAGGGCCAGGGATTTAGCTTAGTGGTTTTGTCGCCTGCTGTGCTAGCGCAAGGACCCGAGTTCAATCCCTGGTACCAAAAAAAAAAAAGTAAACAATAAAATGTAACAATTGTAGTAGTTATTATAAGTAATTAAAAGATAACTTGAAGGGCCAGGGATTTAGCTCAGTGGTTTCGATGCCTGCTATGCAAGTGCAAGGACCCGAGTTCTATCCCTGGTACCAAAAAAAAAAAGATAACTTGAAGTGTATGGGAAGTTGTGGGTCAAATGCATATACATAAGGGATTTTTTTTACATAAGGGATTTGAGCATGTACAAATTTTGTTTTATTTATTTATTTATTCATTCATTTACTTTTTTGGTTTTTTGAGGCAGGGTCTTGCTTTGTAGTTTAGACTGGCCTAGAATTCACTATGCAGCCCAGACTGGCCTCGAACTCATGGCGATCCAAGTGCTGGAATTACAGCCATGTGCCACCATGCCTGGCAAGCATGTTCCAATTTTGGTATCCATGTGGGCTCCTAGAGTCATCCCCCACAGATATGGAAGGATGACTGAATGTGTATTACTATGTTTCTTGTGCTTATTGCCATATGTTACCATGTTCTCTATGATACTTGGCAAAACAGATATTTTCAGGAGAAATATCCACATATAGTTTACTGATTTAAAGATTTTTACAAAATTAAAGTAATAACATTTATATTTTTATTTATTTACTTTTTTGAGTACCGGGGATCAAACATAGGACCTTGCGCTTACGAGGCAGGCAGCGGCACCACTGAGCTAAATCCCTGGCCCCTATATTTTTAAAATATTAAATAATGCCAAGGATTTAGCTCAGTGTTTCTACCGCTTGCCTCACAAGCATAAGGACCCGAGTTCAATCCCCGGTACCAAAAAAAAAATTAAATAGTTTATAATACAAACTGATAGTGTCCTGCCTTTCAACCATAGCCTCTGTTATTAACATGAGTGCCCAGATTCAGTAATTCTTTTTCAAAATTTTTGTTTTTCTTAGTACTTGCTTGTAGTCATAATAGTCACACTCATTGTGGAGAGTTGATACATGTACATAACACATCTTAATTCTTTGTGTGTGTGTGTGTGTGTGTGTGTGTGTGTGTGTGTGTGTCCTGGTCCTTCTCCCTCCATCTCATAATTGTTTCAGATGTGTCTTCTATTACTTATATTCTTTTCACAGCCCTAGGGATCAAACTCAGGACTTCACGCACTAGGGTGGACTACTGAGCTATAACCCAGCCCTCATATTTTTTGTTTTTTGGTACTGGGGATCGAACTCGGGTCCTTGTGCTTTTGGGGCAGGCAGCAGAACCACTGAACTAAATCCCTGGCCCTAGCCCTCATATTTTTAAATAATACGTATATTGTTACTCAGTGGTTGATCAGTTTAGATATACTGTATCAACGTACAGTAGACAAAAGAATTTTTTTATTTATCTCATCTCTCCCTTTTCTTCATTTTCTCAGTACGTATTTTTAGTTTTTAGTTAAATCCATATAAAACTTTTTCAGAATCATTACTTATATAAATACTGTTTTCTTTAGAGTCAACCAGTACTCACTGTATGGTTACATTCTTATCTTGAATAAGTTGTTTTTCTCCAGTCAATAATAATTTCCTTATATTTCTACCTTAATATTCTTTGAATAGGCTGGGTATAGTTGTGAACACATGTAGTCCCAGCTACTTGGTAGGCTGAGGTGGGAGCATTGCTTGAGTCCAGGAGTTTTCGACCAGCCTGGGCAACATAGTGAGACCCTGGGTCAAAAAAATTTTTTCTTTGAACTGGGGTTTGAACCCAGGACTTTGCCCATCTTAAGCATGCACTTTTCCACTGAGCTACACTTCCAGCCCTACACTACTCCTTAGATGTTCTGTATTTTGATTATCTTTGACTTATGATATAGACTTGACAGTTCCTTCTAGATACTCTATTTAATAAGTGCAAATATACAGAAGTAATAGTATTTCACATGTCTCTTGTTTGTTCATGGTAAGAATGATGATAGCAGGGATGTATCAATAGATTTTAACTTTCACAAAAACTGTACCAAAAAGGTCAATAAAACTGATATATGTCTTAAAAAATGAAAACAGAGATACTCAACTACACCAGCACTACTTGGTTGTAATTTCTTATAAGTTTTCTTTTTATTATAATAATATAGCTAAGTATAGAAATACATTTGTGTTGGTATGTACATATATATCTATGTACATGTACATATGTATATACACATTGATACATGTATATATGTATGCATATGTGTGGTAGAAAGGATAGGCCCCTGAAGTCTTAGCAGTAGCTACTGGTAAGTAACCATTGTTCTTAAGTAGTTTATTGCTTGCTGAGGTGAATAGAAGAGTATGTTTAGTGTTGGAATAAAAAGTCATTATTTGGAATGTAGTATAGTTTGTTTTTTTTTAATGAAATTCAGGAAGGCTGGGGATTTAGCTCAGTGGTTCCACCGCCTGTCTCGCAAGTGCAAGGTCCCGAGTTCGATCCCCAGTACCGAAAAAAAAGAAAATACTCCAATGAAATTCAGGAAATTAGCAATTAGCTGGTGAGGCGCCTGAGAAAGGAACTTAGCAGGAAAAGAAATATTGCTAAGGTCAAGGGGTCTTGATTATACAAGTTTTTAAAGTAAACTTTGGATTGAATATAACATTTAGAAAGATGCAGATATTGTTAAATGAATAGCTTGATGGAAAATGCACCCACATAACCTACTACCCAGATCCAAACTCATTAGTTATGTTCTAGAATTCCTCTTCACAGTCCCTTGCAGTATCTACCCTCATATCCCAAGGATGATTACTATCCTGACTTGTAATGCCATTTTAAAATAGATTTATTGACATATCAACATATTGTACACTGCACACATTTAAGAATGTATGAAGTTACATACACCTATGAAGTTTTGTCTGCTTTTGAACTTTATAAATGAGAATACTGTATGTACTCTTCATTTCTGCTTTTTTTTTTTTTTTTGCTCAATGTTAATGTTTGTAAGACTCATTCAGGGTATAGATAGTTATAACTTGTTCACTCTCATTTTTGTATTCTATTGTGTGAATATAGCACAGCGTATCCATTTTAGTGTTGATGAATATTTGTGCTGTGTCCAATTTGATGCTACTATGAATAATGCTGCTTTGAACATTCTTATATACGTTTTTTGATGAACATAAGTACCAAAGAATGGAATTACTAGTATAGAGTGAATGCATTTTGTTCAGTTTAAATTAAACAAAGAGATGTTGGCAAGGAGATTTCCAAACTGATAGTGCCCAATTACATTCCTGTTTCATTTGAGTATGAATGTATTGTGATAGAAATATTTTAATGAAGATGGAGAAGCTGTTTTTTTCATAATAAACTGGTCATGTAGGACTATAAAAATGTTGGGGGCCTGGGGATTTATCTCAGTGGTGCCTCGCTTGTCTTACAATTGCAAGGTCCTGAGTTCGACCCCTGGTAGTGAAAAAAAAAAAAAAAGTAGGACTACAAAAGTGTTGTGAAAATCAGATTTAATGAGGTCAAATTGAAGCTTTAATAGCTTAAGTTTACATAATAATTTGTTCTGAATGAAGGTCTTAGCAAAACAAATTTCTTTGAAGATTATGCCATGCTTTTGAATTGTCACAAAAATGATGACTGGGCCTGAGATGTAGCTCAGTGGCACTATGTCTGCCTGGCGAAAGTGCAAGGTCTTGAGTTCGATCCCCGATACCAGACCACAAAACAAAACAAAAACAAAGCAAAACAAAAACAAAACAAAAATTTAAAAAATGATGACTAAACAATTCATTTCTCAAGATTATATTATTATTTTGGCTTTCTTAGGAGTTCTGAAAATTTTGAGAAGTATAGTACAGTGGAAAGGCATGAACCTAGTCTTGAGCTTGTTATTATTATTGTTATTTAAGCATGATAACATTTCAGCTGATATTTTTTTTTATTAAGTTTATTGGTACATTTTAGATATATAATATGATGACATTCATCATTGGGAATTTGTACCTTTACATGATATATCTTGGTTCTTATTTTTTCCGCATTCCCCTGCCCTCCCTTCAACCCCTCTACCCCTCCCTATCAGTTGATTTCTTTATGCTAGTAATTTTTTGAATGGAAGTCTGTATACCCATGAATACTCTTATCATTTTAAAACAGCATTATCTTCTCAATATTTGCCAGAAAAATACAGTCTCACGGGTTTTTGTTTTTTGTTTTTTCTCACTATGTAGTTCAGGCCATCCTTGAACTCACTATGTAGCCCAGGCTGGCCTTGAACTGGCTATGATCCTCCTGCCTCAGCCTCCTCAGTGGTGGGATCACAGACATGTGCCACTATGCCTGGCTTACTAATTAATATCTGAGATCGCCTCAATTGCTTCTCAGCCTTTTGGCTAAGATCAAGTATGATATCGCCTCAACTGTACATGCTCCCAACTCAGGCTTAGTCATTACTTTTGTCTTTGAGTCTATTAAAAACCAAAACAAAGCAAAATTCATGACTTGGGCTCTGAATGCAATCTTTTAAAAAATTATTGTTATTATTATTATTTGTTTTTTAGTAATACTAGGGAGTGAACCTAGGACTTTCCACATGTTAAGCATGCATTCTACCAGAGTTATACCCCCAGCCAGACCTCTGAAGATAATCTTTTCTCTTTTTCATCTTCTTTTTTTTTTGGTGGCACTGGGGATTAAACCCAAGGCCTTTGCAATGAGCTACATTCTCTGTATATCCTTGCAACTCTAGGTCAAGAAGGAGTACATTTGTGCCTTTTCTTCCTGTTTGGTGAAACTGCTACTCCTTGGGTCAGTTCACTGAGCTAACAGAAGTATAATGGGAGCCACGTGGGTCATTTTACGTTTTCTGTTAGTCACATTTTGATGTATAAAGAAACAAGTGAAATTAATTTTAATTTTATAAAACAAGATAAATATTATTTACAATCAGTGTAGTTTACTCACTTTTGTTTTGAACTAAGTCCTGTAAACCCAGTGTGTATTTCATTGTTATACCACCTCTTAATTTGGACTAGCCACATTTCAAGTGCTACATTTAGCTAGGGGCTGCTGTATTCCATAGTTCAGCGCCACCTAAAATCCAAGAATAATTTCAGTTGTGGCTTAAGTGGTCTTGGACAAATAGGATAGGATATCAGGAGTCGAATTATTTCTAAGAAAAGTATATTTTCCTCATACATTGTCTTTCCTATTTTTATAAATTAGAGGTAAGTGGTATCATGACCTATTAGAAAAATATAATGAGAAATATTCTTGGAAATAGTGACCCTTTCATTATGTATTTAGTTCCAGCAACCTATCTGATGTAACAGTTTTTTTCTTTTTTTCTTTAGATATCAACAAATTTCTTTGGATGGTCCGGATTGGAGGAAGCACAGACACAGGCAAACATATCAAGGAAAATGACTATTATACTCCAACTGGAGAATTCCGTGTGGACCGTGAGGGTTCTCCAGTGTTGCTCAACTGCCTCATGTATAAGATGTGTTACTACCGCTTTGGGCAGGTCTACACAGAAGCCAGTGAGTGATGATTCTTCACATTAACAACATAGCCATAATGGTGATAGCTAACATATACTGTGCTTTTCAAGTACTTCTCTAAGCACTTTACATCTATTAACTCATTCAATCTTTACAGCAACCCAAAAGGTAGATACTATATTATTGGCATTTTATGGATGAGGAAATTGAGGTATCAATAGGTTACTGAACTCTGCAACATTGCATGAGTAGCGGTTTAGTCAGTATTCAAACTCAGGTAGTTTGGCTCCAGATTCTGTGCTTTTTAAATATTCATCTTTTTAAAAATTTTTAATTTTGTTCTGCTGTTGGGGATTGAACCCAGGGCCATTATACTGAGCTACACCCTCAGCCCTTTAAAAAATTTTTCACTTGAGACAGGGTCTCGCTAAATTATTATGTTGCCCAGGCTGGGCTCAAACTTGCAGTCTTCTTGTCTCGGCCTTTCAGAGTGCAGGATTAAAAGCATGTGCCACCATATCTGGCTTAAACATTCATTTTTGTACTGGGGATCGAACTCGGAACCTTGTGGTTGTGAGGCAGGCAGCAAGACCACTGAGCCCAGCCCTAAACATTCATTTTTTATTGTTTCTCAGTAAAGAGGATTACAGTGAGGAAAAGAATAAAAAAGGAGACAAAGGATTTCCTTTCTTCAGATGAATACATTGAGAGGGATTTGATCAGGTTAAGTCTTTTCTTCAGGTTTCAATTTTGTGGCTCTGTGCTATGGACAGTTTCTAAAGTGGATGAGGACCCTTGGCGACTTCTCTGATCCATGGAAGGTTTATGGGTGTGTTACAGTGGCCTCTGGATGATAATTCTCAAGAATTCAGGGGGTTGAAAGTCAGCCCCTATTTCCTAGAAGAAATAAGCTCCATGGACTCTGCCAAGCGTCATTTTGGATAGGACTTGGGTTAGGGTAAAATTTGTTATCTGCTTCATGCTTCTGAAGACTACTCTCTCATCACATTGCAAGCTGAGGAATAACAATATAAATAATAGGTGATGTTCTGAGTTGACTTCCTGTCTCTTTGGAAATTAGCATTGTAGAAAGAAGTGTTCTTTGTCCCTTCCTAGAGCGTCCACCAGGCTTTGACCGTGTCCGAAATGCTGAGATTGGGAATAAAGACTTTGAGCTTGATGTCCTGGAGGAAGCATATACTACAGAGCACTGGTTGGTCAGGATATATAAGGTGAGCAGGTGGTACACTGTCTCAAGAAAAAGCTTTCATGTTTATAGATGGGTTCTGGTGCTTAAAATTTGGCCACATATTTCTCAAATAGGGACAATTATAATGACACTTGTGTCGGAAAAGTAGCTTGCAGCTCACACAACATTTACTGTTTTAATTTTAGACTGGTCCTTAAAAATTAACATCGTGTGGGCCGGGGATTTAGCTCAGTGGTTTCACCGCCTGCTGCGCAAGCGCAAGGACCTGAGTTCGATCCCTGGTACCAAAAAAAAATAAAAAAATTAACATCGTGACTGGGCATGATGGTGCATGCTGTAATCCCAGCACTCGAAAGGCTGAGGCAGGACTGCCATGAGTTCAAGGCCAGCCTGGGCTACATAGTGAGTTCAGGGCCAGCCTGAACTACAAAGGGAGACTGCCTCAAAAAACAAAAAAACCAACACCCCCCCCCAAAAAAAAAACCCACCATCATGGTTGCTTGTCATCTTGGCAGTTACTGCTGTTTTTTCTAGTAGTGGCTTGACTCAACATCTTTCAGTGATTATGAGACTTGAGGGTAAAAAAAGAGAAGGTTTATGTCTGTATTTCTGAACTATATTTTCTTCTACTGAAGAATTTATGGCAGAATCACATGGTATCACATCAGAGTGTGTTGTCTCTTAAGAAAAGATTAAGAACCTTTCATCCACATGAAAGGTAGATCATTTATTTATATTGTGTCTCACAGGGGATACTGCAAAAACAGTAGGTAATTCAAACCCATGCTCATTTAATCTCAACGCCACAGCAGAGGGGCAGAGCCCAGTATATGCTCTTCTGCTTTGGTGAGCCCATTTTAGTAGAAAAGCTCTCCAAAGTTGACCTGATTGTAAATATTAAACTGGCATTTTTATGTTGCAGGTAAAGGATCTGGATAATCGAGGCTTGTCAAGAACATAAGTGTTACATTCAGCTCTGATATGCTTCGCACTAAGCACGTCTTATTTAGGACTTTGAAGATTTTTTTAAATACACAGTTTATAAGAACAGAGCTGGATGGGATTAGAATTGTCTGGAAGTTTTGCCCAGGACAGTATGGGCTGGGGCAAACGGAATGATTTTTATAATTCTGAGCAAGTTACCAAATGAAATGTCATGGCTTTACTTTGGTCAATTAAAGGGGGGAATTTTTTAAAAATGTGCCTTATTTGTTTTGACTTATAGCTGATGTGAGGAAAGTAAAAGTTTGTGCTCAGCTGATAGGACAACAGCAGAACCTTATCCATGCTCTTGGCTCTGTAAATGAGCCAAATGGGGCATTCTTTCTCTCTCATATCAGGAAAACTATCAGGAATTAGCTCTGAGTCTACATATATAAACACTTTTGTCATACTTTCTGTTATTGTAGCACCTAGTGAATGCCTTGCACATAATGGGTGCTCAATAAATTTTTATCTAATAAATGTTTGTGGGATCAGAAGAGTGTATTTCTGGGCAGGAAAAGCAACTTTCCTTTTATTATGTCTCTGTCCTCAATGTCTTATCCTTAGAGGCTCTTTGAATTTGAAAGAGATGGAAAAGTTGCTAGCTAGACCTGAACTCACCAGTACTCTTTGGGAGTAGTGAGGTTTTGCTTTTTTTTAAGAGCAGGAATAACACTCTGGGTTGCTGAGGCAGGAAGATCACAAGTTCAAGTCCAGCCTGGGCAACTTAGGAAGACCCCGTGTCCTCCCCCACCCCCAAAAGGCTAGAAATGTAAATGCAGAGACCCTGAGTTCAGTCTTCAGTACCACTAAAAAACCAGCCAACCAATCAACCAACCAAACAAACAAACAAAACCAAAAATCAGGAATAAATCAAGTGTCACTAACTCAGCTGTTTTGAAAGACTCAAAAGAAATAGTGAAATTATTGTTAGCAATGCAGAGGAAGAAATTCCAACATATGTAGAGCTTGGTCAGTAGATATTTATGAATCAGCTTAAATATAGTTATAAACATCTATTTGAAATGTAGCTTTTCAGTATTTTCACTTAAACTATGATAGATGAAATGACTTTATGCTTCTTTCTTTTTTTTTTTTGGTACCAGGGATTGAACTCAGGTCCTTGTGCTTGCGAGGCAGGTGGCAGAACCACTGAGCTAAAATCCCTGGCCCTTTTATGCTTATTTCTTTTAGAATATGCATTAAGACTACAGTTATTCAAATTCTCTTTGCTTTATCAGTCTACCTGTTGTTTTTATATACCACTTCAAGCTCAGACACTGGTTCTGAAGCCCTTGCCAAATAGACAAATCAGAAGGAGAAGCACTGCCATTAGCAAGTACCTGGAGAGCACTGCCAACCTGAGTCTAAGAAAAGAGAAACTTCTAGCAAATTTTAACTCCAAACACTAAGGTCCCATAACTATTTGATTGGACAAAGAGCTTTCAGTTGAGTACAGTAGGAGATTTTATGTATTTTATAATTAAGACATGTCACTGATGTATATAAGCCGTAAGTCTTAAAAAATATAAGGAAAAAAAAATAAGACAACTGTGTAGTATCTATTTAAAAAAACAGGAGGAATTTGATGGCTTTAGGTAAGTCAGAATGGTACTCCTAAAGGTCTGCTTGGATATACTTCTATACCTAGGGAATTTCATCTTCTAAGGCAATTTATATACCATGTATGTAATTCAATTGTGGTTGATACTTAGATTTAATGTAAGATTTAATTTACTGTATTTAAACATATTACTTGCTGGCGCATTCCCCTGTAATCCCAGCACTTGGGAATCTGAGGCAGTAGGATTGCCTCCTGAGAACAGGCCAGGGACTACATAGTGAGTTTGAGGCCATCCTGAACTATGTAGTAAGATCCCAATCTCCAAAACAAAACAAACATCTATCTATATCTCTGTCTATATCTGTATGAGCTTGATTTATATATAGAATTATTCCCTAGAAGAGGTTATTCTGAGTTTTATTTATCAATATGGTTAACACTTGAGATCTTAGTAAAATTCCTCTGTAGTAATGGAATATTTAATTTGTAACTATAATTGTGGCTCTTAGGAATTTAGTTTTGTTACTTTCTAGACTACATGAAACTATCTGTTTGGTTTGGTTTTTTGAGATTGGATTATGTAGTCCAGGCTGATTTTGAACTCACTGTTAGTCTAGGATGGCCTAAAACATGGAATCCTCCTGCCTCAGCCTCCTAAGTGGTAAGACTACAAGCATGTGCTATCACTCCTGGCTACATGAAACTATCTTTTAAAAAATATCTACTTTCTGGCACACACTTGTAATACCAGCACTCGGAAGGCTGAGGCAGGAGGCTCACTGAGTTTGAGGCCAGCCTGAGCTACAAAGTGAGTTCAAAGCCAGGCTGAACTATATAGTGAGACCTTGTCTCAAAAAACCAGACACACAAGAATATTTAGTTTCATTTTCACTGTTATGGTACACTCACTTTAAAGAAAAAAAAGTCAATTCTAAAACATAACATTTTCTACTCCCCAGAGACAACCATTTTCATCTACTGATTCTCATTACTAACCTTCATATCATTAAATAACTTGCTTTATTTTATCAGGTTTTGGTGTTTACATTTTCAGTATTTTGTTTACTTTCTGATATGGAATCTGAGGATTTAGCTTTTTCACCAACCTTTTTACCTATGGACCATGTATTCTTAGCGTCTTCTATTATAGTTCTGATTTTAGTTATATTCTATTGTTATAATTCTAATTATTATTATTATTTTTTGCTCTATCAGGGATCGAACTTAAGACCTTGCGCTTGCCAAGCAGGTGCGGTGCCACTGAGCTACATCCCCAGCCCTAATTATTCTGTTTGCTTTTATTATGGATCTGTTTAAGTTAGATCAGTACTTTTTACCTTCTGGCTATTCTCAACTAATACATGTAGTGTATATTGTTACTATTTTTCTTGCAAACTGTTTATAGAGAGTTGTTTTTGGAATTTTCAATAATTTGACACCCAATTCTCCTTCATTTGTGCCAGCCTCCTCTTCATGTGTCGACACATTAGGTATTCATTCTTAAGGATGTCTTCTACTTTGGTATGTTTCAGTTTGAATTGGTTTACTCTCTAGGTCTGCTGGATTGTATTGTTTTTCTGTTGTGTATATATTTTTTCTTTATTTTTAGGAGGAGGAACAGTACAGTGTTTTCTCCTAATCTTTTGTGTGTATATTTTTTAATCTTTTGACTTTTTTTTTTTTTTTGTAGTACTAGGTATTGAAGCCAGGGCTTTCCACTGAGCTAGCCCTTCTTTATTTTTTATTTTGAAACAGTCTCCGTAAGTCACTAATTTGCCCAGGCTGGGTTTGATTTTTTTTTTTTTTTAATTTTATTGATGGGCTTGATCTTTTGATCCTCTTTCACCATGCCTGGTTTCTTTCTTGACTTACTATCTTTAAGCACTTTCCTGAAGAAATGTATGTTGGAGATACAGTAAATTTCTTGAGATCTTACATATCTCTTGTTACACTCGCTTGATAGGTTGGCTGGGTATAGGATTCCAGGTTGGGGATAATTTTCCTTCAGGATTATGTAGCTATTTACGTATTGTTTTCTATCTTCCAAACATGGTTGAGAATGCAGTGTTACTCCAATCATTATTAATTTCTGTTCATACCCACCCTCAGTCCTGACTGCTTAGGATCTTCTCTTTGTGTATGTCAGAACATTTCCCAGTGTTGCATCATACTTTGGACTTTATGAATCCAAATCAAGTTCTTCTGTCTGGAAAGTATTCTTGTGTTATATGTGGATTTCGCTTTTTCTTATAGTTAATGGATACTGAACTTTCTGAATCAGTCTCCTAATTTCTTTTAATTGCGCTACTATTTCCCATCTTCTCCCTTCTGGGAGATTTCCTCAACTGTGTTTTTTGACCTATGTAAAATACTGTAGTGGTTTTTTTTTCTTGCTCACACAGTGTTCAAGAGCTTTTTCGTTTGAATATTCCTTTGTTCTGACATCTTTTCAAGTAAAAACTTTCTCAAATTCTTGGTTGTCTACTCTTGAAAGGGACCATAAGAGGCTGATGGAAAGGGTTGTAGGTGGTAGTTGTGGGGTGTTTGCTTATTGATGTTTTCAATCTACTGTGATCTCCTTGGGTTTTTACATTGGAAAATCTCTAATACTAGTGACTTTAGTTTTTCTTTTTTCCTCTTTGATAAAATTTCCTCAATAAGTTCTATATATCCTCTTACTCAAGGATATAAGCTAGCTGTCAGCTTTTTGGTATTAGAGTAGGGAAAAGAAGGTATGTATGCCCAGCCATCAGTGTATACACTTGTCTATTTTCAGCGAGGTGCCTAAGGTTTCTCTTCAGTTCAGATATAATGTATTTACCCTTAAATCTTGACCCAGACTTGGGGAATGGCAGTTACCTCCTTCCATGGAATCGTAAGGACAACCACAGGCCTATTTGGTTTTCATATAGTCTTTAAACCTATCCTTTTTGCCCTACACTCACTCCACAGTTTCCTGGTGTCACCAATTCAACAGGAGCCTTTTGAGATTTCTAGGATGTAAATCAAGTTGCTTTATCTCACTAAGTCCCATTACTGCCTTTGGGATTCATCTTTAAGTTACATCTAAAGCTATTTTCCAAAATGTTTTCTCATACTCTGATTTATTTATTTTGAGGCAGGGTCTTGCTCTATAGTTCGGGCTGTCCTCAAACTTACTATGTTGCCCAGGTTGGCCTCGAACTCAAGGCAATCCTTCTGCCTCAGCCTGCCCAGCACTGGAATTACAGGCATGTATCACCAAGCCCAGCATATACTTTATTCTTAGAGGTTACTTTTTAAAAAATTATCTTTTACTATTATTTTAGGTAAGTTTCAGAGGGAAAAGAAGCTATTCATTCTCATATGTGCTCTTTAGCTGGTAATTTGTCTGAATCTGTATGCCTTATTGTTTTGAGGCTAAAAAGATAGTTCCATCTAGGCATTTAGGAACTGTGCAGGTCTTCCTTTCTTCATATTTTATTTTCAGCAGAGGAAATCGTAGAGGAAATGGGATAAATGATTTAGAAAGTTTGCTTTATGAGTCTTAAAATGGATGTCATGGTTTAAGACTTCACATGTAAACATTTGTAGAGTTTTGTTCAAACACTTTGCATCTTTAAAGTGAATGTGTGCTTTTTTTTGGGTTATGTGTTTTAGACATATTTTTGCTCAATGTCTGTTATCACTAGATTTATGTTGAGTGGAGCCCAATTTTGAGGAAAGGGAATTTAATGTTGATTTTGGTCTGCCTTGAGTTCTCGGTTTGTTTACCGTCGGGGAATACCTACTTCAGCTTTTCCAGACTGTGTTCTCAAGTCCCTTTGTTGAGAATTTACTGTCCTTGGTTACTCAGCTTTTTACTTTGCGTTGTAAAATTTCGGCTTCTACTTGTCTGTTTCATACATTAAGAATTGGTAATTCCTTAATTCCTAATACAGTAAAAATGAGGAAGCTCATAGTACTAAGCTAGGCAGATAGTCCTTCTTCCAAAAAGTTAGGATGAACTAAAGTACTTTTTTGGACAAGGCAAAATCGTAACTCTGGCATTTCTTCAAACTGCCAAAAAAAAAAAAGAGGCTTTTTCCTGCCCCCATCCCATTTATGGCCATTTTCTGGCGTTTTTCGCTCCCACCGCAAAATCCTTCATTCTTCACAGATCAACGCCCAACAGCTGTGGCCAACTTTGAGCTAAGGTACTATAGGTATCGCACTGTCAAGTACACCAAGCGCCCTTCAGTACCGCCTGAGCTTGATCCTCCGTCCTGCTGGCAGCTGCTCAGCGGTCCCGGGCATCCGCGCAACCTTTCCGGGCCCAGGGCGGCGGGAGCGCAGCCCACGGTGGTGCGCGGTCTCGGGGAGAGGCTTTGGCGCCGCCCCGCCGAGGTCCACACACCGGATGCCAGTTCATACTGGGGTCCCGGGTCATTTCGCGCGGATGCAGCCCACGGTGTTTAAATCTCTCCAGCTAGGGTTTGTACTCGACCGCCTACGAACGGCCGGGTGAACCTAAGGCAAGAGGGGAAGACTATGGAGCCTACTCTTTCAGACCTGCCAAGGCAGCTCCGAAGCAGCGCGCCGCGGGAACGCGCGCCGCCCTGCTTTACGGCAAAGACTCGCACCGCCCTGCTTTACGGCAAGACGGGTGCGTTTGCGATAGCGTGAAGCAAGCAAATTTTGGCGGGAAAAGCGCTGCATTTGGATTCCTGTGGTGGCAGGCAAAGGACATCCTGGTGAGGAGGGGCGGCCAGTGTGGTGGGAAAGGAATCTGGAGAAGGAGGTAAGGGTCTAGATTAGTGAGGAAGAGCACGGAGAGACAGTGTTACTGGGAACGAGCGGAGGAATGGAGAACTTCTAGCGGAGGGAAGGTCTCGGAGGCTGGAGGGGTGTGAAACCACGGGTCCCTGTTGTAAGGGGTGCGGGGACCGGAGCCAGTCACCTCCGAGATTGGGACGCCGTCCTGTAGGTCCCAGCTCTTCCTTCCGCTTCTCAGGGAGTCTGGCCCCGCCCCGCTCTCCTCTTGGCCTTAGGGACCGGTGGGATCGGGATGCGAATTGGATCCGCGCTGGGGGCTGGAAGAGCTGCGGGAGTCCCAGTCTTCCTGGCCTCCTTCATTAGGCCAAAGTTTTACTCTCTCCCCCACCCTCACTTCTCCCTCCCCCTTCCACAGCCTTTCTCCAGAAAGCATCTGTCTCCCAGCTCCTCCCAACTGCTTTATTTAATTTCGTGTGAGGCCTGAGGAGGGCAGTCTCAGCCGCCTGTGTGAGTGATTTACGTGACAAAACGCCTAAACTGACCTTGTTTGTGATTTAGAACTTGGATAAATGTGGATTAGGTGTGAGGAAAAACCTAGAGCTGTAGGGAATCTTGGCGGGAGGCAGAGCCCAGTGGTTTTGCAGGTGATCAGAGCTTGCACTCATCCCCCATACTTTCTGGCTTCCTACCTTTTACAGCCGGGTGCTTGGTGGAGTCATGGCAGTGCCCTTTGTGGAAGACTGGGATTTGGTGCAAACGCTGGGAGAAGGTGCCTATGGAGAGTGAGTTGGAGCCCTAATTTTATTTTGCCTTCATGCTTGCTTTAGTTTTCTGTCTTCCGTCCTGAGTGTGTATTTGGTGTTTTGGAATTGCTCTGACACAGTGGTGCCTTAGAGAACAGATCTTTGCATTTGGAAACCAAGACTTATCAATGAAGTTATAGAATCATTTGTAAGAGTTAATATTTTTGCTAACTTCTCCCTTTTTCTCCGACCTCCCCCTGCCTCTCCCCTTCAACTGTTAAGTTATTGTTTTCCCCAACAATCAAATAGTCTTGGTGTTTAAGCACAGTGATTAAATGAACGGATTCTGGCACAGCTTGCCTGATTCCAAATCCTCACTCTAATATCACATACTGATCTTGTTTTGTGATCTTAGGAAAGCTTCCTCCTGCTGTGTACCTCTCTTTCCACATCTATAAATGCTAATATTATCTACCCTAAAGATAGAATAGTTCCCACAGGCATAAGAATAATAAATGTTATTAAAATGATATGACTAGAAATCTATATATGTGACATAACTAGAATTGCTACTATCTCAATGTATTTTATCAAGCACTTATGAAATAATTTGTGTGTACTGCATAATGAATTCTCTGGAATGTTTGCCATAGTATTGTACATTTCCAAAATATCTGTTGAGTACATGGCAGAAACCATTTACTTGGTTTCTCTTTGGTGGAGAAAACAGTAAATGTAAAATAGTTTTCAATGTGTCAGGTTTAATCTTTTGAAGTTTTAAAAGAAGTAAAATTCAAATGTTCTATAATGTTATAATTTTTCCTTTTCTTGTTTTAGAGTTCAACTTGCTGTGAATAGAATAACTGAAGAAGCAGTTGCAGTGAAGATTGTAGACATGAAGCGTGCCATAGATTGTCCAGAAAATATTAAGAAAGAGATCTGTATCAATAAAATGTTAAATCATGAGAATGTAGTGAAATTCTATGGTCACAGACGAGAAGGCAATATCCAGTATCTATTTCTGGAGTACTGTAGTGGGGGAGAGCTTTTTGATAGAATAGGTATGGAAAAAATTTAAGATATTTACTCTGCTAAAAAAGCTTCTAAATACATATTTTTGACCTTGGGTAGCTATTTGGTCATTTTCCTTTCAGAACTGCCTATGCACAGTAAAACTGGAGTAAATTGTCTTTTTTTAATGTCAATTTATGTTAACAGAAAGCTTATACCAGTATAAAGTCAGTGAAAGAAAACTATTTTAAGTTATATATAAAGATTTTTTGCTGTTTTATGGAGTTTTATAATCCTATTTATAAGGATTGCTATTTTATGGAGTTTAAGAATAATAAACTATTTTCATGGTGAAGTATCATAAATGCAACGTATTGTTTGCCCTAATTTTTTCTTTGTAGATATTTTAGAATGAAATCATTGCATAAGTTTTCAGATCCAAACTAACAGCATGTTGTTTAAGTGAAAAATTGAGAGTTTTCTAGAATTCTTATGTAGATATATAATTCTGTTTATTACTTTTTTTTTTTGGGTTTTTAAAAGTTATATTTCATAAAGAAAATGGTCAAAATTAACAATAAAATAATTTATAGTACTTAAGTATTCTTGTAGACTCAAATGATTATTACAATACACTGAGAAGTACATGAAATACTGTGGATCTGAGTTTGGTTTTTTTTGGTACCGGAGATCGAACTCGGATCCTTGCACTTGCGCAGCAGGCAGCAAAACCACTGAGCTAAATCCCTGGCCCCTTGAGTTTATTATTTAAAGATATTTTATTAGTAGTTAAAAACTACTAAAATTGCCAGTGTGGGGCTGGGGATTTAGCTCAGTGGTTCCTCCACCTGCCTCGCAAGTGTAAGATCCTGAGTTTGATCAAACAAAAAAATATTGCCAATGTGAATGTCAAGAGAGTTGAGGGTAAAAGAAATCAAGAGTTGATGAGAGACATCAAAATATAATAGGTAAAAGAAAACTGACAGTAAAACATTTCTTAGTAAAACTTTTCTAAAGGAACTTCATAGGCATTCATGGTTTTGTAGTGTAAGAAATTTTATGAAGTTTAAGTCCAATATTTGGTGAAATTGGCTTAAACCCTAGGGCTCCACATTGACAATCATATCTCAGGTTTGAGAAAAATAATTTATTTTTAAGAGTAAGAATACTCAAAAATAGCATTTATAAGAAATAGGGAGAATTTGAAGGATACCGAATAAATCCAGATTAATATAAGCGTAAAATAGCGTTCAAGGCATGACTTGCATTCTGGATTTGGATGTTAGTTTATTTCTTTGTAATTTTTCTGTGATATTTTGTTTTTGCTATTTAATGACGGGACAGTATGAGTTATTAAATACTGTATTAATGGATTCATGAATCTTTTGCTACTGTAAGATTCTGTTTGCTAAATATAATCTTAAATGTCTAAATTTGATTTAAGAACCTATGTGGAAAAACAAAAAGCTATGTGGTTGATGCCTGATAAAATTTGGCTAGTAAACTAACAGGTAATTAATGCTTACAGAGCCAGACATAGGCATGCCTGAACAAGATGCTCAGAGGTTCTTCCATCAACTCATGGCAGGGGTGGTAGGTACAATCATTTCCTTCTATTTAAAATCGGTATGAGTAAAGTAAGTTCCAAATTCTAGTATGTCTCTCTTCCTCCCCCTTAGGTTTATCTGCATGGTATTGGAATAACTCACAGAGACATTAAGCCAGAAAATCTCCTTTTAGATGAAAGAGGTAAGTTTATCATTGTGTTCATGATACATTTTAATACAGCCATACAATGCAGGATCAAGGCTTTTGCATTACTGAAATGTTAGAACAAAAAATCTGACAAGGAAATTTGGAAGATTGAGTATATTTGGAGTTCACAAGTCTTTCATGATGTAGGTATGGATGTAATAGAGAAATCTGACCTAGAACAAAGGTAGTTCACTAGCTGAATAAATATAAGAATAGTGTTAAACGATTTTGAATGAATTAATAAAGGTGAATTTCTGTTGGAATACCCTAAACCTGTGATGGTGAACCTTTTAGAGCTTTTAGTGATTAAAAGCAGCCCGCTTTAGCACGCATGGTGTAGGTTCACTGCCACTGCCCTGGATCTTCTCTTGTTCACCCCCTTTTATCAGACTTCGTTATTATTTTTTTTGGTACCAGGAATTGAACTCAGGGTCTCGCACTTGCCAGGCAGGCACTGTGCCACTGAGGTACATCCCTGGCCCTATCTGACTTTAATAAGATGCAAGAAATTCAATTCTATTTTGTGGATGTCATAAAACTGAGAAGGATACATATAGAAAGTGTTAGTGTATAGAGTTGGAATCAAAAAGATGACAAATGACAGCTATATGAGGCAGTAGTTTTTGTCTCTTGTTTAATGTACTATTCTTAGTATTAGAATAGCATCTGGCAAATAGTAGGTGTTTAAAAATATCTGAAAGAATGAATTTAGCAGGCCAGAGAGATGAGTCAAATCTAATAAGTTATTTTCTTTCGGGAAAAGTCTGAAGTCTATATTGTTTGAATTGCAAAAACTAACCAAGTTTTTGAATGATATGTTCTTGGCAGTGAAAGAGGTTAAAAAAGAAATTTATTAGACAGCAAGCCTAGTACTAGTCACCTGTGTGATTGAGTAGTAGAATACTAAGGTGCTCTCATCCAGAATGGGGAAAGTAGCAGTCCAGCACTACTCTGATGAGGCTACTCTGGAAATAAGGAGTTTCTTGGGGCTACAGTTGTGAACTATGCAGAATAAGGACTTAATGAAGGAACTCAGGGGAAAATTGCTAATCGTTAAATTTGGTTCTTTAGAAAATAATTGGTGAAAACTAAGTAGAAGCAATTTGAATTGGTATAAGGATGACCTCCATTAATGGATCTGTCCAAAAACAGAATTCGTTGCTTTGGAATGTTGTGAGTTTATAAAATTAGAATCAAACACTGTAGTGTTAATTACTAAGGGTACGATAAAGAGAATTTAAACATTCCTTGGCTTGTTAGACCAAAGTACTGTCAAGATCTTGTCCAATACTGAGGTTAATTTAGCATTCTGCAAGTTATTTCATAAAAGTACATAGCAAAATTATAGATATTCAGAAGAATTTATACAAGGAGAAAACAAATTGTAGGATCATCTGTTGATGAGTCTTCAGACATGAGAGCAGAGCATAAGCTGTGATCATTCCTCCTGCTTCCATTTTTCATGCTGTTTCCATTATTTTTGAATATTAATAGCCTTGATGTTACCCTCCATTATTCCCTTCCTTATGTACCAAGCAAAATTAAAAAAAAAAAATAAATGCAGGTTTCAAGCTACACAAAACACATGAAAAGGATTACATGTTTCTAAATATGACAGGCAGTATATAGTGTTAAGAGCTTGAGTTTGTAGTGATTTGAACATAAGTTTAATCCAGGCCATCTCATTCTAGATGTGTGACCTTGGGTAAGGTGCCTAACAACTTTTTTTTAAGAGTAGGAAAAATTTATTGAGAGAAAGATAGCTTCTAAGAGAGATAGAAGGCGGACCAGAAAATGGGTTGCCCCCTTACCCTGCTTCTTGAAGGTGTTTTATGGTACAAACCCATGAGATGAGGTGGGTTCAAGGTGGGACAAAACTGTTGTCAACTAGTAAGATTACAAGTACAGCCAGTTAGGTAATATTAATCCAATGAGGAATCACAAGGTGGACAAGACCATGATCAACCAATAAGATTACGACAAGTGTAGTTGCTTCGGTAATATTGATTAAATGGGGATCCAATGGAGAAGTGAGTCATGTAGCAAGCATACAGGGATTTTCAGTCAGGGATCTTTCCTGCAAGGGGTAGGTAAGATCTTAGTCCCCCACCCAGGTGATTGATAATCACTGCTATTCATCCTTAGGGGAAGCACAGGAGTTGCCTTCTTTCTGCCTCTCTACCTCATCTATAAAATGGGGATAATAAGAGAATGTATTTGAGTTATGAGGATAAAAAGTGTGTGTTTGTCATAGTATGTTCCTGGACATAGAAAAAATTTCTCTACCCCCAGCTCCATACACACACAGGCACACGCACACGCACACACCGGCATTGAAATATATAAAATGTGTGTGTATATACCTGGCACATAGTTGATAGTGAAAAATATGATAGCTGTTGTTACTATATAAAATTTAATGTAAATTAGACCATAGAATAAGAACATATGGATTTCCCTTTTTTTTTTTTTTTTTTTTTTGGTTGTACTGGGAATTAGATCCTGTCTAAGCTCCATCCCTAACCCATCGATTTTGAGATGAGGTCTCACTGAGTTGCTCAATTGCCCAGGCTGGACAACTTGAAATTCTCCTTCTCCAGCCTCTTGGAGTGCTGGGATTATAGGCATATACACTGTGCCCAGCTGCTTTTCCATCTTTTAAATTGTGTTTATAGGACATAAAAATATTTACTTCTACTTAAAACTAAAGAAACTTTAAGCACACAAAAGTTTTTATAAAATAAACATAAAATATAATAAGCACCTATCTAAACACTTAAAAATAAAACAGTGCTGGGCTGGGAATTTAGCTCAGTAGTGCCACCACCTGTCTTGCAAGTGTAAGGTCTCGAGTTCGATTCCTGGTACCCCCAAATAAATAAAACAGTGCTGATATGTAAGATTGCTCAGATGGTGGTATTTAGTAGAAAACTGTAAACAACCTAATTGTCAGGAATAAGATATATAAATTAGCTGAGTGTGGTGGTGCATGGCTCTAATCCCAGCACTTGGGGAGATTGAGACTCACAAATTCAAGTCCTGCCTGGGTGACTCAGTGGACCATGTCTTAAAAAGGGCTAAGGATATATAGCTCAGTGCTATATCAATCTCCAGTATCCCCCCAAGGGTTAAATTATGAAATGGATAATTTATAGTTACAAGCAATGATAGGCATAAATTTTAGGAATATAAGGATGTAGAGTAGAAAAGGACAGTTGGAAAAGAATTCATATTTATTTTTATGAAGGTCAAAAATATGTAAAATCTTTCTTTTTCCTTCTGTAGCAAAATATTTATTAGTACATTTTAGATATACATAATGGTAACATTCATCATAGGGAATTTGTACATGATACATATTGCTTTTTTCCCATTCCCCCTCTTCAACTCCTCTTCCCCTCCTTATATACAAAAGCTTTGATTCCATTTATTCCTTCTACTTCCTCTTTTTTCTTTTCCCTTCTTACCCACTTCCTTTTTCACCTTCTCATTTGAACATTTTCTTCCTGTTTCCCAATATCTATTATATATTTAGTCCTTATTTCCACTTTGAGTTTCTCACATGAGAGAAGCAATGGGGTATTTAAACAAGTGTAACTGATTTATTTCACCTTAGAGTATGGTCTCAAGGTGGATCCATTTAGGTACAGATGTCTCAAGCTCATCCTTCTTTATGGCAGAGTGATATTCCATTGTATAAAAAAAGTGCATCTTTATCCATTTGTCACTTGTTGGGTGTTTGGGCTGTTTCCGAGATTTAGCTATTACAAATTGTACCGCTATAAATATGGGTGTGCATATATCTCTGTGTGGATGCTTTTAATTCTTTTTTTTGGTACTGGGGATCGAACTCAGGACCTTGTACTTGCGAGGCAGGCAGTGGCACCACTGAGCTAAATCCCCAGCCCTAATTCTTTTAATTCTTTTAATTCTTTTGGGACTAGCTGGGTCAAATGTAAGCTCGAGTTTTAACTCTTTGAGGAATCTCAACACTGATTTCCACACTGGTTGCACCAGTCTACACTCCCATCAGCAATGGAGAAGGGTTCCTTTTACTCCACAGTCCCTCCAGCATTTGTTATTGGTTGATTTCTTGATAACACCCATTCTTTCTGGAGTGAGATGGAATCTCAGCATTGTTTTAATTTGCATTTCATGAATAACCAGTGATATTGACCATTTTTTCATATATTTATTTGCCCTTTCTACTTCTTTATCTGAGAAATGTCTGTTCATTTCAGTTGCCCATTTTCATTTTTAAATCCTTGTCCAGTTTCATCACCAGGGTAATGCTAATGTCCAATACTGAGTTTAGCAGTGTTCCTTCCCTTTAAATTTCACAGAATTCTTTGAAAAGTATTGACATTAACCCTTCCCTGAATGTTCTTGTGAAACTGAATAGGGAATCTGTAGATTCCTTGGACCTTTTTATTGTAGGGTTTTCATTATTGTTTTAATTGCAGATGCCCATTTTTGGACTGGGTCTTTAAATATGAGGGGTCTGATTTTTTTGAGTTCTTGTTTTTCTTTTTTTTTTTGGTACCGGGGACCGAACTCAGGACCTTGCGCTTGCGAGGCAGGCACGGTGCCACTGAGCTAAATCCCCGGCCAAGTTCTTTATGTCTTCTAGATACTTGCCCTTTGAGGAACAGCTGGCAATACTTTTGTCCCACACTGTGGGTTGTCTCTTCACTCTTGGTGGTTTCTCTTGCTGTGCAAAAGTTTTTTAATAGATGAGATCCCAGTTCTTGATTCTTTGTGATAGTTCCTGTGAGATTTGGGTTTGTTCATAAAGCCTTTGCCTACACCAATGTCTTTGCAAGTTCTACCTAGTCTATCTTCCAGCAGATTAAGTGTTACTGCTTTAAGATTTACATCTTTGATCCATTTTGATTTTAGTTGAGTGCACAGTGAAAGATATGGTTCTGGTTTTTTTTTTGTACCAGGGACTGAACTTGGGTCCTTGCACTTGCACAGCAGGTGGCAAAACCACT